TAGAATAAATTAGGTTTTAGGAATTACCTTATAGAAAGGATTTGATGAAATAGGCTTTAAATTGTTACCTATTTTGGGCACTTTTGACTTGGTTTAGGGATGATTGTCCGCTGCTCGCGCGTAGGAATCCCAATATGTTTGAAGGGTATTTTTGCCCTCCTTTACCTAAGAATCCACGTGTCGCCTTGTGATTATTTTTTGCTCCACAACAACCAATATCAATATATATATATATATATATATCTTGGATCTTTTAATAACGGTCACAAACCATTGCATTAATGTTATTTTGCGAACTCTACCGATGAGGTCTTCTCGACTTTCAAAACATTTCACCAACAAAAAGAGCATTTTATCCAACTCATCGATCATTGATTTAACTTCCTATATATCACACACCAAACACATTTATATATATGGAATATATATTTTACATATGTAAAATGTATACCAATATGCATTATATCAAATTTATACCAAAACATTGCATTAAGAGATACTTACTTTATTGCAATTATGTCTCAGCACAAGCCACCAAAACGTGGTAACATAGAAGTACCTTTGCTCTTTATGCTTATTAATGAAAAAAAAAAAAAAAGGGATTCTCTAGTCTTGCAGTCGTAGGTTTAGATGAAAAATTGTAATCAATCTTAATAATTTAAAAATACTTTAGAAACTTACCTTCAAAAGTGTTAAGAAGAGGAATACATTCTGAAATTTCTTCTACAGTATCCTCGTTGCATGCCATATCCAATATTTGTTGCAACTCGATGTCTAGTTGGAGTTTTTCATCTATTATTCTCAAGTCATCCATTGTGATTTTTCCTTCCACCGGTAGCAATAAAGAAGGGCAATAGATTTGAAAGGGGAGCAGAGGCACAGAGGAAAGCGGAGTGAAACAAAGAGGAAAAGAGAAAAGGGAAAAGGGGAGTGAAGTCATAGAGAAAAAGAGGAAAGGTGCGAAGGGACAAAGAAAAGAGATAGGGGAAAGGTAGAGGAGAAGTTAGGAGTTTAGGAATTAAAGTGAAAAAATTAAAAATTAAAAATATATGTAGAGGTGGAAGTTCAAATTGTAGAGGTGATTAAAGTATTAAAAATGAAAAGGGTGTGGGAGAGTGATTAAGGATGTGTGAATATCACAACGCTTTTTTAAAATCTTAATTTGATTATACTATGATTCCAATTTTTTTTAATCTTCATTTAAAATCTTAATTAACCATAACAAGATATTAAAATCAAATAAAAATCCTATCAAATCTTAGTATTACTACACCCCCTTATTTTATTTGAAAGAAAAACGTGGAAGAGGTCATGAAGGCAATATGGTCACATGACTATGAGCCTATGAGAAGAACAGAAAAACAACAAAGTTATTTTGTGTTTAATTTACTATGTAGCTTATAACTTTTGTATTGGTTTTTTTTTTTTTTAGTTTTGTTGACAATGTTAATTTGATATTTTCACCCTCTTTTAGTTGATAAAGAGAATTTTGTTAGGGTATTGCCATTGACACTTTAAAAATCTCATTGTGCACTACAATATATCTATATTTGAAAGAAAAATACGCGTATGAGGAGTGCACAATGATGTGTCGCCAAATGATGTGTAGACTAAATTTGTTGGCAAAATTTGCAAACCAAATGACGTGTCATCAATAGGAAATGAGCATGTTTATCAATGCTTATGTAATAATTCATGGGTAATGCCACATAGACTAAATTTTGAGACAAAAATTGCAAACTAAATAATGTATCCCTAATTAGAGATGGGCAACGGTTATGGCGAGTGGGTAACCGCGGTTATTTACCCATAACCGTTTAAGCTTTTACCCGCATAACCGTTTACCTGTTGGGTATTTACATAAACAAGTATACCCATACCCATAACCGTTTATAAACGGTTAACCATACCCATAACCGCATACCCATTTACCCATAACCGCATACTCGTTTACCCATTTACTTTTTGTTTTTTTTACCCGTCTACCTATTTTTTTAACAACTTGAAAATTAAAAAGAAATTTGTCATAATTTTGTTTTTTCTAACTATTAAATACCGTTGTAAGTACATTTAACATGTATTTTTATATTAACAGCAATATTATTTATGAATATATGTGATGTCTCCCAATTATTTGACGGTCAATCTATTACAAGAATCATGCATGGTTGTAGGTTAATTAATATTATTGTATACATATACATATATGTATATGTATATATGTAAGTACACATCAATCTGCTAATAAGCTAATTTGATAAATATTTGGATTTTTATTTAGAAACATATGTTCATCGATCCAAGCCATTTAATCGATTTCTAATTATGGGGTCAAATATTTATTGAAAACTCGAGGCCAATTAAATATATATATATATATATATATATATATGTATATATAGGTATGCATCATCTGATAATAACATGTTTCTAAATGCTCAAGCTAATCATTATCTTGAATTGGTATATATGTATATATATATATATATATATGTAGGTATGCATCATCTGATAATAACATGTTTCTAAATGCTCGAGCTAATCTTTATCTTGAATTGGTCAAAACTGCAAAAGACTCCAAAACAAAATTGTCGAACACTCTAATGATTTAGCACATTCAAGCACATATATTAAACATTAGTCCGTTCTATCAACTATATTTTTCTCTCAAGTGAGGCATATATATATATATATATATATATATATATATATATTTATTACCAAATATATCTCGGTATACTAAACCTAGTTAGAAACTAATTTTTTTTTTTAGTTTTACATATATTAAAATAAACAGTTAAATGGGTACCCATGTATAATCCCAGATAATACTCATAATCGTTTATTTATCTAAACAGTTACCCATAACTATAACCGTCAAATTTAAATGGGCGGATAACCGCAATTACCCATAATTAATGTGTATTTGCCCATTCCTATCCCCAATAAGAATGGACACATTTATCAATGCTGAAGTAATAAATCAATCATCAACTTTTATGTCTTTTAGTTTCCAAAATTTTATCTACAAATTTAGTCTCCTAGCATTACCCATAATTCAATCATAAGCTTCTATGTCATTTAATTTACAAAAGTTTTTCTACAAATTTTATCTTCCTAGCATTAATCTTTGTATTTTTTTTTCTTATTTATTTGTTTTTCTTTTTAATAAATGAGAAACAATCAACTCTATCAAATACCAGAACCAATAATTTCTTATCCAGGCCCAATGAAAAAAAATATGATGATCAAGTAATTCTTTCCAAATGTTACTTGACATGCTTATTTTTACTTCACACACTTCTCATAATTTTTTACCATCAAATAAATAAAATTGAAGAATATCAGTAACAAAAAATTAATAAAACTGTATCAAAAGTAAAAATGAGTGTGTGAATAGCCATATCCAAACAAAATAGTTTTCAAGTTGACTGAGTGACCAAGAAAATAATTGTTTTGGGTTCAATGAGAAAGTTTGTTGTGAGACATGAATATGGGGTGGGTTGGTGGCAAGATTACTTTTAAAAAAAAAATTGAAAGAAAATAAAGAGTCTGTAATGTATAGGAGTTTTCTTCTATGACGTTGAAGTAGTATTTAAAGAAGTCTTTCATGTGCAGGTTACCATTTGATTTTATGTAATTTAAAAAAATTATTTAAAACTTTTGGGGGCAATGATCACCTCTAGTAATTCATTACGCAAGGTGATAATATATCACCGATCGCCATAAAAAGATGAAAATTACACTAGTCTTCACTTCAAGTGAAGATTAAACTGAACTCGATATGCATGTTGAATTGACTTTTATCTTCTTATTTAAAATAAAGGTATGTTGATATTCCGTGGTGTCGGTATTTTTATTTTGTTATCTTTACCAGAGAGTGGTTAATATTAGAAAGTTTGCAAATTATTTTAGTTGGGATGGAAGATGTAGTGATGAAATTTTTTGGTGTATAGAGCCAGAGAGTAATTAAAACCAAATCTAGGTTGAAGCACACTAAATCGCAGATCATTGGAATAATAATTTTATTAATTTTAATTTCACCAATAATAAAAACTGTTTTTGTTTTGTTTTGTTTTTGGGTAAATTACATAGTAGCCCCTCAGGTTTGAGGTCTATTGCAATCTTATACAAAATCTTTAAAACATTTCACTTTCATACCTCAAGTACTATTTTATTTCAATTTCATACAACCGTTACATTTTCCATCCATAGATCTGTTAAATACTGACGTGGCTGTCACATATATGCCACGTGGCTACCAAATGTCTGCCACGTGGCAAATAAAATAATTTTTTAATTTTTTTAAAAAACCTGCCACTTTTTTTTTTTCCTTCTTCTTCTTCTTCCTCCTCCTCCTCCTCCTCCTTATTTTCTTCTTCTTCCTCCTTCTTCTACTGGGTTGCAGGGGTTTGATCACATTTTTTTCTTCTTCTTCCTCCTCCTCCTCCTCCTCCTCTTTCTTCTTCTCTTCCTCCTCTTTCTTCTTCTCTTCTGGGTTCGATCCCTTTCTTTTTTTTTTCTTTTTTCTTCTTCTTCTTCTTCTTCCTCCTCCCCCTCCTCTTTCTTCTTCTCTTCCTCCTCTTTCTTCTTCTCTTCTGGGTTCGGTCCCTTTCTTCTTCTTCCTTCTCCTCCTCTTTCTTCTTCTTCTTCCTCATCCTCCTCTTTCTTCTTCTCTTCTTCTTCTGGGTTCGGTCCCTTTCTTTTTTTTCTTCCAATTTCAGGTTTTTTAAAAAAAATAAAAAAATTATTTTATTTGCCATGTGGCAGACATTTGGCAGCCACATGGCATATATGTGGCAGCCACGTTAGCATTTAACAGATCTATGGATGGAAAATGTAACGGTTGTATGAAATTGAAATAAAATAGTACTTGAGGTATGAAAATAAAATGTTTTAAAGATGTTGTATAAGATTGCAAATAGACTTCAAACCTAAAGGGCTAGTATGTAATTTACCCTTTGTTTTTTGTTTTGGATGCTTTCTCTCTCCTCCTTCCTCTCTCTCTCACTCTCTTCCTTCTCCAATTTCATTTGAAAAACCCCTGGCAAATGCACCCCAAGCTGACAACCTCCTCCAATCCATATTCTCTCCGTCTTTGAAAACAAAAAAAATACCAAAAAATATAAAAAATATATAAAAAAAAAACCTAATTTTGATCAAACCCTGAAAAAAGCCCTATTCAATTTAAATGCCATACCTTTCTGCCCACATTTCTTCTGGGGTTCCTCTTCTTCTTCGCCGAGCTCCTACTTCTTCCCCCATTTTCTGATTCGCCGATACTACCCAATAGTCAGTTTCCTCAGTTCCTCTAGGCTTACCAAAATCCCATCTTTCAGTTTTACCAATCCCCCAATCCTCCTCTGGTTTTTCTAGGGTTTCATATCTGTTCATCAGATTGGGGATTTGATTTTGTATTTTAATTTTATATTAATCTTTTGCTTAGCTTTTTGGGTTTTTATTTTTAAATACTGGGTTTCTGAATACCATATTGGTTAGTGCTTCTGCAGCAAATGAAAAATTGAACCTTTGAAAAGGAAAACCGAAAATTCCTATCTGGGTTATTTCCTTTGTTTTTTTGGGAAAGGGTTTACCTTTGAGCAAAGAATTTCATTTTTCTGTGTTTTTGTAATTTAGTGTTTGCCATTGATTTTTGGGATTGAGGAAAAACAGTTAGCTTTTTTCTGGTGGTTTTGGGATTCTTGGGTAGAAGGAAGACTTATTGTTTGTTGTGGAAGTGAAGGGAAAGCTTAGGCGTGTATGGGCAAACATGAGGAGTGGGCAGAGCCACCAAGTGGGCTGTTGCCGAATGGCCTATTGCCCAATGAAGCTGCATCGGTGATGAGAGTGCTCGACTCAGAGCGATGGTTGAAGGCGGAGGAGCGAACTGCAGAGCTTATTGCCTGCATTCAGCCCAACTCACCATCCGAAGAGCGCCGAAATGCCGTTGCCGATTATGTGCAGCGGCTCATCATGAAGTGCTTCCCCTGCCAGGTGGGACTTGCGTGTATACACATAATATTTGTTTGTTCGAAAAACTGTGACTACATTTTAATTTCATTTTTTGCTGCAACTACATTTTTGTTTCAATTTTTGCTGCAATATGCTCATTTGGTTCTATAGGGAAGAAATCGGTCATGATATTGTTGTCATCTTTGAAGAGTATGTGTAAGTTAACTTAACTTGGTTAACTCTAAGTTAGTATTGTTTGTATATTGTATTATCACAGATAATTTTGAAAGACATAATGTTCTAAGACCAATAAATTCTATGGGATGAGTATTATTTGGAATTTTAAGGTTCTAAAAGCAGAAGGGAAAAAGCACAAGCCTTGTAGATTGAGTTTATGAGAACTAAGGGGGAGATGAATAATATATGATCAGAGTGGTGTGTAGACCTCACACCGTGTAAAATTTGGAGACTTTGGAAATGACATGTAATGCCGGTGCTTTTTTGTTCAGCATGTCTTTTATGGTGACAAAGTTGGGTCAATGGTTATGGTTATGTTATGAAAAGTTTTTGTTAACTTGTTCTAGTGGTGCATATGTATTCTGTTTCATATGAGTCATGCATTTATTTTTGTTTATGAATATGTGCAGGTGTTCACTTTTGGGTCTGTACCCCTGAAAACGTATTTGCCTGATGGAGATATTGACCTGACAGCCTTCAGTAAGAGTCCAAATATGAAGGACACATGGGCCCATCAAGTTCGTGATATGCTCGAGAATGAGGAGAAGAACGAGAATGCTGAATTCCGTGTGAAAGAGGTTCAGTACATTCAGGCAGAAGTAAGTTCTTCCTAGCATCACTAGTACTATTACCTTTATTTGAGATTCTTGGCGATGTTCATTAATTTTTGTACTTTATTGTTATTATGTTTGATTCCTTTTATATCTTGTATTTGCTTTTTTGATACTAGATTTAGCCTTAGTACTCCTTTTTGTACTACAGGTGAAGATAATCAAGTGCCTTGTGGAAAACATTGTTGTAGACATATCATTCAATCAGCTCGGTGGCCTGTGCACCCTCTGTTTCCTTGAGGAGGTAAATGTTTAATTTGATAACCTTGTTAACATTTGTGTGCTTGTTTCGGTCATTAGCATTTGTATGATTTGACTAATTGTATTGTCTACTTCTGCAGGTTGATCATTTGATAAATCAAAATCATTTGTTCAAGCGCAGTATCATACTGATAAAGGCCTGGTGTTATTATGAGAGCCGAATACTGGGCGCTCATCATGGGCTTATCTCAACTTATGCGTTGGAAACTTTGGTTTTATACATATTTCATGTTTTCAACAACTCGTTTTCTGGACCACTTGAGGTAATTTGGTTACCTTGGGTTATTATATTGACTTTATTCTTTGTGGATACACTGAATGGTTTACTTTGCTGGTGCAGGTTTTGTATCGTTTTCTGGTGTTTTTCAGTAAATTTGACTGGGATAATTTTTGTGTTAGCCTATGGGGTCCTGTCCCCATTAGTTCACTTCCAGATGTATCTGGTACTGATTTTTTGCTTTAAATTCTTATGTAAACTTTTGACCTTCAACCCAATTTTCTCTTTTTCTAAATCCTTTTCTGGGTTAATTTGTGATTGTTCATGTCGCAGCGGAACCTCCTCGAAAAGATGGTGGAGAGTTACTACTGAGCAAATTGTTTCTTGATGCCTGTAGCTCAGTGTATGCTGTTTTTCCTGGTGGTCAAAAAACTCAGGGCCAACCTTTTGTTTCCAAACATTTTAATGTTATTGATCCTTTGAGAATCAACAACAACCTGGGACGCAGTGTTAGTAAAGGTATGTAGTTCCAAAACTATATGCTTTTGGATAACCCTTCCTAAGGGACTTCCCAAAGTTTATATTTTGTAATTGGTCAAGGTCTTATTGTGCTGTGGTATGAGGAATAAATTGTTTAATTTATTGGTCATGCTCATTACAAGTGAGTCAAACAGTTTATTTTCAAGAAGTTGTTTCCTATTTGGGAGATAACTGTGTATTATAAATTGAAAAATAGTGGACTTCAAATAATTAAGAACCTGATTTAGATTCCTCTTTACCAAAAGTAGAACAGCAGATGATGAAACCATGATTTTTCTCTTGGCTTTTTGTATGTGCCGCTTCCCAATAGGCTCCAGTTTTTGTCACTGAACATGTACAATGTGCCTATGTTAGTTTTGTGTTTATGCCTCTTTTATATTGATAAAGGATAGGGGTCCATTTACATCCGCAAAATATTTGGAGGTATAAATTATTCAACTCCAGTGCAACCTTTGGAAAAAGAAAACAGTGTAGCTGAAAACAGCTGTGTAAGCACTTGCATGATAATGTGGAAGGCAACAATATGCGATTTTTACTTGGAAATAGCCTCATTCAAATAGAAGAACCATATCCCATTTAAGAGAATGGATTTATTGCATGGGAGATCGAAAGAATCTTTTTTGGTCTTTTGTATACAACTATACATGTAAACTTCATTTGTCCTTCCATAATATTTTTATGCTGCTTGTAAGGTGTAACTTTGTTTCTTGATTGTCTATCCGTGCAAATTGTTGGTTGTTGCAATCATGTATGCCTAATTGCCTATGTATGTTTTCCAGGTAATTTTTTTAGGATACGCAGTGCATTTACATTTGGGGCTAAAAGGCTGGCCAGGTTGCTTGATTGTGCCAAAGAGGATCTATTTTTCGAAGTAAATCAGTTTTTTCTTAACACTTGGGATAGACATGGGAGTGGTCATCGACCTGATGCACCACGAAATGATTTGAGGCGCTTGAGACTTTCAAATCTGGACCATTTACATGGATCTGAGAATCTCAGGAATATTTCAAGCAACCATAAAAAGGAAAGTTCCTCTGGTCGAGATACTCAAAGTGGGGGGATGCATGGCTCCATTAATGTTCCCTCCCAGCATGCTAGTTATTCTTTAGAAAGCACCTCTGGTACCAGTAGTGTATCTACAGTAACTCATTCTCAAACTCAAAGGATTCATGGGAACACAAACCTCACTAGGGCCTCTGATATGACTAGAAAGGAAACGAATTCCGACCTGGGTGCACACATTGATAAAGGTCAGAGAAGTGCTAAACCTGATAACTTGGTGAATGACTTACAAGGGAGGTTTCTTTTTGCAAGGACACACTCTAGTCCTGAGCTTACTGATACATATGGTGAAGTTTCCACTCAAAGTAGGCGCTACAGAGCCCCAGAGAGTGGGAAAGGCCAAACTTCAACAAGGTTGGATAATAGTACGAGGAAAAACCTGGATTCTGATAGTGTGGCAAGCCACAGAAATAGATCTTCAACTGATGATCCTTCATCTGCTAGATCCATCTCATCCCGCCAAAGCCCTGATGCTGCTGTTGATTCAAATAACTACCATGATGAGTCAGGCATGAGTGCCGTTGCTGACGATTATGCTTCTATTTCGGCGGCACAAGGGATGCACCAGGAGGAGCAAGATCTTGTTAACATGATGGCATCTTCTGCAGCTCATGGTTTTAATGGGCAGGTTCATCTTCCACTCAATTTGGGTCCCGGTCACCTACCGCTTCCAATCCCACCTTCCATTCTTGCTTCTATGGGATATGCCCAGAGAAATATGGGTGGAATGGTTCCTACAAATTTCCCCTTGATGGAGACTCCTTGGGGAACAAATATGCAATTTCCGCAAGGTGTTGTGCCACCGTCGCTAGCCCCTTATTTCCCTGGCATGGGGTTGACCTCAAATCCTGAAGATTCAGTGGAACCTGGTAATGAAAATTTTGGATCTGTGGAAATGAACTCAGGCGAAACGGAGCTTGATTTCTGGCATCAGCAAGAGAGGGGATCTACTGGTGGGTTTGATCTGGATAATGGAAGTTATGAAATGCTTCAGGAAGATGACAAGCAACAGTCAACCTCAGCTGGTTATAACTTTCATCCATCATCTCGTGTAGGCACCTCAGGAAATTCTATGCAAGCTCAACCAAAGTCTACCAAAGAAAACCAAGAGTCGATGAGGGGGGAAGAGCGTGTGGATAATTTTCAATACCAAGATAACAGAGGTAATGAGGTTTACTTTGATGATCGAACTGTGAGTTCTAGATCTGCCACATATGCAAGTTCAGTGAGAAGTAAGACCTCCTCTGAGAGTTCTTGGGAAGGATCATCAGCAAGGGTCTCAAAGTCAACAAGGGAAAAACGTGGTAGGCGAAATGCTCATTCAGCAGCGCCATCTGCTGCATATGGGAAAGGTAAGAGTGTGTCCGAACATTCATCTACCCAGGCAGATGATGACAACAGAGATTGGAATTCACCTACAGCTTTAGGTGCCGAAACGGTAGAACAGAGCACAGGACCTCAACCTGTTGCTCCCTTGCATTTTCCAAGGCATCAAATGACCGGTTTTGAACAAACTCAGACAAGTGGATCAGATTCGATGATTCCTTTTGCTCCAGTGTTCTTAGGTCACGGCTCAAGACAGAGAGCTACAAATGATTCTGGAATGCTTACATTTTATCCTACGGGCCCTCCAGTTCCATTTGTTACAATGCTTCCTTATAATTATTTCTCGTCAGAAACAGGAACTTCAGATGTATCAACAAGCCAATTTAGCAGAGAAGAGGGAGCAGATAATAGTGATTCTGGTCAGAATTTTGATTCGTCTGAGGGAGCTGATCAACCTGAGGTGTTAAGTACTTCTAGCTCTATGGGAAGGGTAGCTCCTATTGAGCCGTCAGAGCATAAATCTGACATTCTTCACAGTGACTTCTCTAGCCATTGGCAGAATCTGCAATATGGACGGTTTTGCCAAACTTCACGGCACCCTTCACCTGTCGTTTATCCTTCACCAGTTATGGTGCCCCCTGCTTACTTACAAGGAAGATTTCCGTGGGATGGTCCCGGGAGACCTCTTTCAGCCAACGTCAATCTCTTCACTCAGCTTATGGGTTATGGACCTCGACTGGTCCCTGTTGCTCCTCTCCAGTCTGTTCCTAACAGGCCTGCTGGTGGTTATCAACGTTATGCAGATGAGATTCCAAGATATCGTGCTGGGACTGGGACCTACCTGCCAAATCCTGTAAGATAACATAAACCTGTTCTTTTCTTAATTATTATTTTAGATTTCTTTTTAATTAAGCATGTTGCACCTACCAATCTTTTTTTTTTGGACCTGTTTATGGTTTCTGGAAAGTGAAGTCTTTGGTTAAACATAATATAGAATCAATTTTCCTAGATTTATTATAACTTAGAACCTGCTGCCGGATTATTTCTCTTACCTCCCTTAATTACTTCAGAAGGTTTCTGTACGGGACCGGCCTTCAAATACGAGAAGGGGGAATTACAATTATGATAGAAATGACCACCACGGTGATAGAGAAGGGAACTGGAATACCAATTCAAAGTCACGAGCTTCTGGGCGCAACCACAGTCGCGGTCAAGCTGAGAAGCAAAATTCAAGAGTAGACCGTTTGGCAGCTAGTGAGAGCAGAGCTGAAAGGTCATGGAGTTCAAATAGGCAGGACTCATTACCGTCATATCAATCTCAAAATGGTCCTATCCGTGCAAACACTGCACAGAGTGGTTCGACCAATCTTGCATATGGCATGTATCCGGTACCAGCCATGAACCCTGGTGGGGTATCATCAAATGGCCCTTCCATGCCACCTGTTGTCATGCTGTATCCTTATGATCATAATGCTGGCTACGGGCCACCTACAGATCAACTTGAGTTTGGTTCTCTTGGACCAGTGGGATTCTCGGGTTTGAATGAAGCACAGCTAAATGAAGGGAGCCGGATGAATGGGGTATTTGATGAACAAAGGTTTCATGGTGGCTCTACTCAACGATCTTCACCTGATCAGCCTTCTTCACCCCACCTCCAAAGGTAGTTGGTTCAAGTATACCTTTTTCTGTTGAGGGAGGGAGGAGATCATTCAGGGTACCATGCCAGTGTCTCGTGGCCAATTTTTCTGAAGATTTTATTCGGAGTGATTTCCTTTTCATTTTGTTGTTCACGATCTTTCACATCACTGGGATTGTATTGTGATGCTTTCCATTATCTTAACAGGGGAGTTTGATCATTTTGCCAGATCAGTGGCCCAGGGGAACTATCAGATGATACATGAGGAGTTTCCGCCTCAAACAGCGAGGGGATGATGGTGGAAGAAACTACAATGACTGTCCCTCCCAGCACCGAGCGTTGCTGCTCTTGCCCCATTCTCAAGAGGGGAAGAAATTAGACTTTTTCATTCCATGATTTCTTGGTATCTTCCTGATCACATCATGCCTGCTTGGAGTTCTTATGTACATTAGAAAGTAATTTACTTACTCCATTTTCGTCAAGAACAAGATCGGTGGTAAAATGATGGTGATGTGATGGTGAGGGGGAAGGCGGGACTCGGCGACTTTATTGCCCGTTTTAGGGTTAGGCACTTTGTAACTCGACTGAAGTAGAAAACTTGGGTTTAGGTTCAGAGTTTAGGATTTTACTGTTAGAACACTGTTCGACCAGGAATCGCTTGCACACAATGTATTAGGTTTTTTTCGATCAGAATATGTGTACCATCTCTTTTATGTATTCTTTGTCCAAGATTTTCAACAGTGTAGCAATTAACACCACCATAGATGAAATTGGAACATTTTCGGTTTTACTGACAATCCTTTCGTTCTTTTAATTTTTCTTTTACAGTGGATGCATTATTTTTCTGGAGAAATTTGTTCAGGTTCCCAAAACACCTGTGGGCGGGGAACACGAGCTGGCAATCTTGAGCTGGTATTTCGAGAACCTGGAAAATTTTCTCTATGCTTAGGCATCAAAGCATGATCTCGGATTTTGTTTTCCTTTGCAGAAATGCGAAAGCTTGCTAAGTGCATCTGCAATCTGAAATATATAAACAAAGTAGCTCATCGTTGGTTAAATGACACTGTAGGATATGGGTTTGGGTTATACATAGACAGGAACCCTAAACCGGTAGGGTCTCAGTTCAAGCTTATGTCCTCAGTCCAGCCACATGTTTTGTTATCTCAATCATCTTATAATAAAATATAAATGACAATATAAGATGAATGAGAAAATAAGATAATAGCAGTGATATGATTGTTTACGTACGATGAGGGATGGGTATGGATGAAATATCTTTGGACTAGGGTTTGTTTAGGACAGCATTATAATTAAGGTTGGTTATATACTTACCCTATGAGTTATTTCCTTTTTTCTTTGGTCAATACTTGCCCTACAAGTTACTCCACTCCTTTATGTGCCTGTTCTGTTCTCTCCCAAATCTATCGCAGTAGAGATGTCGTTTCACAAGTACCAGCAGGCGCTGGAAGCAAGGATGTTCAGGTGTTGGTAACCATGTCGCTTCTCAAGTACCAAGCTGGCGCCGAGGCAAGGATTTTCCCGCTGTAGCTAGTGGCAACGGAGACAGTCACGAGAACTGCTTCTGGCGTTTCAGTTATTACTATATCGGACAGACAGCCCTAAGTCTTTGGAGAAGGACGTCAAGTTTGTATATGAGCACGGTGGCTTGCAGGAGGGGATTTTTACAAGCTTCTATCAACTTGGGTTGAGGACACAACTAGGGAGTATAACGTGGAGAAACCTCGTGTTGAGCATGCACGACTCCTACATTCTCAAATGGAATCCAATGAACGGGCTATCGGCTCTTGTAAGGAGCTTCGTTGCACAATGACCTCTCTAGAGCTGAAGCGGTTGAGAGAGAGATCGCTCTTTTCAGGTCGCGATTTGAGGCGAAACTCAAAGAGATCAAGGAAGGAAAATGTAATGATCTCGATAGTGCGAGTAAGAAGCTGGAAATGTTGGGACGTCGGACTGTTTTAGATCAAGGACTTGGGTAAAGCTGGAGCACAATAGCTGATGGAGCGGAGCAAGTATTAAGGGATAATTTGTTTTAAGTCGCAAAATATGCTAGAAAATGAAATCACAATCGACTTCTGTCGAAATATGAAATTATTTATTAACCCAAGTTTAGTTTTCTATTACTTTTCGGCATAGAAATAGAATCATTTTCTGCCGAAAGAGGAATGCTAGCTATATTCTTCCACATTTATTTTTCCTTTCTTATCTTCCCCACTCATTATTTGACACGCAAACTCGCTTGTACAACAAACTAAATACTTACTTAGAGCTTTAGAAATACAAACTTCAACTTTCCACATGTACCCTACAAAAATTTTGAACAACAATAGTTTGTGCTTTAAGTTTGTGTTGTCTGTGTCGCATCGCATAGCAGCATACGTTGTTCAACTTCAACTACAAAATCTCTAACATTAAATTTAAGTTTTTCAATTGTTAACTAGTAATCGGGACAACCTAATCAGCTGACTAAGTTGGCTGCTAACGAAGCTACTTGGAACGCAATCCAGGGACATTCTTAAGCCCCATCTTGCCAAGAACGAGCTTGGGAATGGCCGGAGGGTTGTCCAGCCCCATGCTTCGGCTAAACTCATTAGCAAGCTCCACAAGCATATGCTTATCGCGCCCCACTTTCTTGTTTGAATTGTAATACCCCAGCCATGCTTGGTACGCTGCTTCTTTGTTCTTCATCTCCACCTTGGACAGTGCTCGTTCCACCTGTTAGATACAATTCCAACATTAATACATAAAACTATATGTTTCAAGGAAAAAAGGGAAGAAACAAGTGAGAAAGAGAGGGAGAAAAACCCACCTTCTTCGTAGTATCTGGATCGACTGACGGTGCAGCAGCCTTGGATATTGGCAAATCCTTAATATTGGACAAGAAGAACTCCTCCCAAGGAGCCAGTAGCAATATCCCTTGCCCCACTTTGCCTTTACGACCAGTTCTTCCAAGTCGATGTATATACTGTTGTCTATCGGCTGGCACGCCCACCTATATTTGCAAAAAAAGGGCAAGGGGTCAATGATAAGGGAACTTAGTTTCAAATCTACAGCAGCTGAAGTTGCAAAATAATGTACTGAAACTGTTTATGATGCTTAAACAAGGTAAAGCAACTTAGCTAAAAGATTTTGAAAGACATGGAACTCAGTTAACTGAAAGCCACAATTTAAATATTGCATGCTGAATAAATGGCAAAGGAACTTCTATTTAAATCTTGCATACTACCTGTATGACTAGGGAAACATCTGGATAATCAACCCCACGTGCAGATACATCAGAAGTCACAAGAATAAGACCCTTTGATTTCCGAAATTCATCAGAAACCCTGGTTCTATAACTCTGTGGCTTTCTAGAATGGATCTCTCTGACATTCAAGTTCAGCTCACCAAGAAGGTCTGCAACCAGTCGTGTTACCATAGCGGTAGTGCAGAATACAAGAACCTGCACATAATATGAGAATCACATGTTACATAAGATAGCAATAAAGGTGATGCAGCTCACATATGTTATATAAGATCGCAAAATGGTGGGCAACACAAACCATGCTTCCTAAGAAAAATATCTATGGTATTAAATCAATACTAATGAATACACCTGAAAGTCTGGTGGATGAATTGAACAAGCCAAGGCTTTGGGTAATACAATACCTACCTTATAGTCAACATCATCTGCAATATGCTCTTTAAGAAGACTATATACCAAGGAAAAATGCCTGTCCAATGGAGCGACCAAATGCGTCTGTGCGACCTGAAATCATCCATACAAAAATCAAACATAAATATTAATCACCAAATTGTCAAAATTAAATATCATATCAATACAGACACACACACACATACACGTACATACATGTCAGAAAAAAGCAAACCTGTGCATGTGTCTCTTCACTGCCTTCTTCAACTGTATTGATATATTCGTGATCTCTTTTCAAAGCAATATGACAGATTTGACGGACCTACAATTAGGAAGAAACCAGTGTTCATCTACAATGTATTTAAATGTATGTTTTTTCGCATTTACTGAAAATCCACATTACCACAAAAAATAGTAGTGAAAGAAACCTCTTCCGGAACAGTGGCGGAAAACAAAAGTGTCTGCCGTTGTTTGGGAACAGCTGATATAATCCTTTCAATATCTTTACGGAATCCCATATCCAGTAAATGATCAGCTTCATCAAGTACAAGGACTTTGACACCCATCAGCCTAGTTGCAAAACCTGCGGTATTCTCAATGTGATCTTTGAGCCTTCCAGGTGTAGCGACAAGAATCTGTATGTTTTATAAGTGTTACATTGCATATAAACAGTGCCAATTAAACACAGATCAAACTATGTTGATAGAAATTTTCATCTGTGTCCTTAGTTGGTATCGTTGGTATCATATCAGTAATAAAAGAGCCAGTATCAAGTAATGGAATCTAATGCGAACCTTCATCTCAATTAAACCTTGTCAACTTTATATAAGCCTATAAACTAACTTGATTCGGTAATTCACCTATTAGACTAGTTCATGAAATTCTAGAGCTATGTCAATGTACAATCAATCATTAGCTCAGTTTATATTTAGCTAGTGAAGTTAATGAAACAGGGTGATGCAGTAAATGACAAAGTTCTCCAGCAATAAAAAACTTACCTGGCAAGGGTTGGCTTGGATACGTTTCTGTTCTAAAGCAAGTCGTGTACCACCAATCACAACTTGGACACCAATAGAGGGATGATATTTCAACAACTTATTGGCTTCAGTAGCAGCTTGACTTGCCAACTCCCTGGTTGGGCATATAACAAGTACAAAAATTGGTGGTCGCTTGTTATCACGGGTAATAGGAGGCGAATTTACAACAACTTCAATTGATGGAAGCTGAAACAAATAAACTCAATGTCAAGTAGGATGAAAAGTCCCCTGCAATTGCATAAATTGATGATACAGATCCAATGCCTCAAATGAACTAAAGTAGCATGGAATTTATCATACATGTTGCATCTTTTTTTAACATGAGAACATTCATTCGCACAGAGAAACAAATGAGATTCCATACCAAGAACGCCACAGTTTTTCCAGTGCCTGTTCTAGCCTTGGCCAGCACATCCTTGCCTACAAAACACAACAAAGTAGAATAAGCAGTTCCATAACATGGACACGCAAAGATATCAATCAAATCTTCGTAAAGAGGACACAGTAGTTACTTGATCTTATTTATATTATAGGCAATCCTGATTAAACAAAGCTTCTGTTTCTTTCAGTATCCTCATGAAGAGGCATTGTTCAAAACAAGATGCCCCCCCCCCCTTTTTCAATCCTAAAGTCGGTGCACGATTTTGTAAAGAAACAAACCTTTCAATATTACTGGAAGAGTAGCTTCTTGCACTACAGTCATCTTTTCATATCCTGCGTCCTTGATTCCTTTCAAGGACAGTGGAGAGACCGAACATTGATCAAACCTGCAAACATTCAAAATAAGTTAAGACAAGATACTTGTCAGCAATCCATTATGAAAATGTTGATGTTGAACATACCGCGATTCACTCAAATAAGAGTCAGAGCTTCCAGCTGAACTTTTCGGCAGAACCCTTTTGCTCGCTTCATCATCTGAACCACGAAGCAAAGAAGCTGCACTTTTTTCTCTTAATACTCCAAAACCATCTTCATCAGAAGCAGCAGTGTCACTCTCTTCCTCACTAAGAAAACCCCCAATACCACCAAATGGTTTTACCTCCTCCTCTTCAGTATCATCCATTACTCGCAATTCTTTACCCGAATCTCTTCCACCTCTATTCCTGGT